TCATCCCTGATTAAAACCCTCCAATAGCTTCCTATTTATTTTAATATAGAAACCAAAATCTCTAATGTGATTTCAAGGCTTACATAGACCTGACCTTTACCTACTTCTGTGGCCTTATCCTATATGTATCCCTCTGCCCCTCACTTATGGTGCTCCAGCCACCCTGGTCTTCTGTTCCCCACCTGCCAAAGGGTTTTGCTGTTTTTTCTGGAGCGCTCAGATTTTCTCTCCTTACTTCAACCTTGCACAGCCAGTTCCTACTCACCGTTCAGATTTAGGCTTAAGTGTTATTCCCTAAGGGGAGGCTTCCTTGACCTCTTCTGGTTGGTCAAATTCCTCTATTAAATATCTCATAAGACATTGTAAACTCGTTGATATTTTCCATTGGCATCTATTTACCTGATCACTTGATAAATGTCTTGCCTACCCCACTACAGTGGGATCTTCAGAAGTGTGGGAATCAGATTTCTGTTGCTCAATATTTTATCCCCAATATCTAGCATAGTTCCTGTCATAGTAGAAACACAATGCATATTTATTGGATGGATAACTTGTTGGTAGATTAGAATGCCTTCAGGATAAGTAGAAAGCCAACAGTATTCAATAATCAGCCCCATTCTAGTCGATACTTTGTTGTGGAAACAGCAGAGAATCAAGAGTTAAGTGTCCCTCCTGAACTCTAGTGATGTTCTGTTATGGAGCACTGGACATTCCCACCCTCATCTCACCCCTAGCCTCAATTTGCTTATCTTCATAAGGGTTCTGAAGTAAATGTCCCAGATCCTTTCTAGACTCATGATTCAAATTTTCCTGAAAAACCTTCACTGCTTTATTTTAGAAGTTCAGGCTAAATGGCTGAATGGGAAGCACACATATGACTCTTACATCCTCACTAAAATCCATCACCTGAATGGAATTGCTAAAGTTAAAGTTTCATTCCTCACATAAAATTGGTAAGTGATTAACCTGGTCACTTTGTTTCCCACATGGAGATTCTAGAGCTCTCAGGGTGGTTGCTGTGTCCAGGTACTGTTCTAAGCACATTACCTATATTAACTCATTTATTCCTTACTTACAGCAATGTTATGAGTTCAGTGTGATTACCATCTCCATTTTATAGGTGAGGAATTAAGGTTAAGTAGCTTGAGCAAGGTCACCAGCTAGTTTGTGGCAAGGCTGGTATTGGTACAGTCCAGCTCTCTCATCCACCACACTGCCTCTCCTTTGCTGTCCCACTTGTGAGAAACACTTGAAGAATCAGGGTATGTTCTCACAGGCACATTTTGTGATGGTGGTCAGGGAGCATTCACACAATACTCAGAACTTTTACAGTGAGTCCTGTACCACTCAATGGCCACACAAACACTCAACGTTCTGTGGTAGTTACTTAGGATGCTCAAGCTTTTCTCTCATCCCTTGGATTATTTATGTCCATTTCTTAATCCCTGTGCTTCATTATAAGCTTTGGAAGGCAGAAACCAGCTCTTGTAAATGGGAGAATTTGAAGTTTATCTTCAAGGATCATCAACTTTCAAGATGCTGTTTCTCATCATGTTATTCTTCTACCTGGTTACAATTTTCTTGTTCTGTTTACATTTTATTGGCCCTCGATGATGTCTTGTCCTTTTAAAAAATCCTTGTCTTCTCCTTCCTTTCCTTCATCATCTCCTTCCTCTTCCTCCCACTTCTTGCATGTCCTCTTTTTGGAAGCTATTTCAAATCACTTTGGAAGTGGGGAGGGTAAAGATTGACTGAATAAATAAGTGTCTCTGTTTTCTTCCACAACACCCAATGAGGTGCGTTGGGTTTAGTGGGCATTTTAATACATGTTTCTGGAGTGACAAAGGTTTAATATTTGTGAGAACTTTCCGCAAACACAGACAGGATAGAGAATTTCTTCTTTCTCACATGGGGATAGACTGTGAGATGTAAGAGGTGGTCAGAACTGATTCATATGAAATGGGCTCCCAGTGGAAAATTCAGGATGCTATTTTGTTCTCTGAGGAAAATGCCCAGCAGAATGGAGTATAGTGAATTATGCAAGCTATACAGCAGGGGCCTTAATCAATTTAATTCTAGAAAGTTCTCAGTGAAGAGTCTTGAATGAGAGTTAGAAAGTCAAAAGGTAAAGCAACATGTAGAGAAACAAATCTTCTGTAGCCCTAGAAAGTAACTGCTGGTAGTTTTTATCAGCCTTTTTATTCTACTTCAACATAGGTAATTATTTGTATGTGGAGAGTTTTAAAAATAATATAGCCACAATATAAACAAGAAATTTAAAAATAATCACATTTCCTCCATTCCAACCCAGTTATTTTCATTTATGTGTTCTTTTTTAGTCCTCGGTTCTATTTATGTATATTTTCACATGGATCATCCACTCATTCCACAAAATTAATCATGCAGTATGTGCCAGGCACTGTTCAAGGTGCAAGGCATAAAGCAGAGAATGTCCCTGTTTTCGGGGACTAACAGTGGTGTGTGTGTGTGTGCATGTGTGTGTACGTGTGTGTGTGTGCAAACAGTGAACAAGTGAACAGATTGATAAGTAGGTGAACTTTGATTGGAGCAAGACTTAATGATCTGGGAAATGAGGGCCCCAGGGAGAGGGAACAGCAAATACAAAAACTTGGCTCTTTGAATCCAGAAAAATGCCTTCAGCTCATTGCTGAGTATTACGAGCGAGACAGAGAGTAGCAAACAGGACTGAGAAAGGTAGGCAAGGGCCAGATTATGCACGGGCTTGCAGATGAAGGAGTTTAGATTTTATTCCTTGTGGACTCAGATACTTTTGAAAGGGTTAAGAAGGGTAAGGTGACCTGACATTATTTATGTTTTGTAGAGACCACTCTGGCTCTTGTGTGGAGAATATAATTTAGTTAAGCAAGAATCAAAGTAGAGAAACCGACCAAAAGGCTGTTTTAGTCCAGGTAAGAAAAGATGGAATGATTATTAGAACAGGTAGTGTCAACAGAGATGGCATGATGTGATGTGATTCAGGACACTTTTTAGGTATTTTCTTCTTGACAAAATGAATGCATGAAGAGAGAAAGTTGTAAACAGTATCTTATTTTTTATATCTACATGATATTTCCTCTCATTAATGTGCAGTATATATTAGTTACCTGGTGTTGCATCACAAATCACTCCAAATCTAAGTGTAGTTAAACATCTCAATCACTCATTAGTTCTTAGTTTCAACAAATTAAGAATTTGGGAGTGGCTCAGTTGGAATGTTCTGGCTCTTAGTCTCTCTTGGGGTTGTAGTCAGATGTTGGCTGAGGTTACTGTGTTCTGAAGGCTTGATCAGGGCTACAGGATCTGTTTGAAGGTGGCTCATCCACTTGGCTGGCAAATTCCTCTCAATGTGTGCTTTTCCATGGAGATGCACCACTATTCTTACAACATGGCAGCTGGCCTGCCCCAGAGCAAGGTTTCCAGGACACCAACGCAGAAGTTATCTTTTATGGCCTACCATTGAAAGTCACACACAGTTGTTACCACTGTATTCTATTGGTCACAGAGACCAGCTTGCCTGATTCAGTATGGGAGGATCTACACCAAGAGGTAGAGATCACTGGAGACTACCACAAGATATTTGGGCATCTGCTTATTTCTTTTATGAACAACAAGCCTCCATTCCAGATATTCTGAACCAATTACAATTTCAAGTATTCTACTCTGTTCTCATCAGCAT